TCAATAGTTAGCTGGAGTCTGATTGAAAATGTGTCTCAAAAATTACCTTTACATCATTTTTCCGATTATTTTTCAGCTCGTAACGATAGAATCAATCAATTTAGAACTAACATGTATGCTATCGGAAAGCATTTTGGCACAATTTTACTGAAAAGACAAGTTTTTCATTGCTCATGAATATTAATTTATGCAAATGAGACGAGTATTTCAACCAATCGTGTCATGCAACTCCCCCTCTGAGCCAGACACTCGCAAACTACACAGAGGGGACAGATGTGTTCATCTGCATGCCATGTTGACATTTGTCTTGTCAAAAAGAAGTCGTTTCGAATCCAGGGATCCCCCACTTTCAGTTGCCATTCTCTTAAGAGGAAAATGCCTGCGACCTTTCCAATAACTCTCGTTCAGTTTGTTGAAATTTCTTCCTGAACTCATCCATGTTTTTATGCAGAGTAGACGCTCTCAGTCCAGATTTTCTGCAAGCATACAAACTGACAAGATGTAGATCGATCGTCTCTGCCACAACAAATTCGATTTCTTCGCATGTCGTAGTTCTGTTGATCCTGCGATACAGTCTCCTCCGGTTATCTATATTTTCTATTTGACTGCCACAAACAATGCCCGTGGTTTCCTTGGTTCTAGGCTACTGTGACTGTATTCTAGTGACTGTATTCACTGTTCATAAACGTGAACAACAAACGCATTCAGGGGGTCATTAAATGTATAAATTTGCATAAACTATGTTAATATAATTTATTTTCTGATGTCAACGATGTATTATTCATATCAACTAGAAACCTGCAGATGGGGACAGTCTCTCGGGACTAAAGTACCCCGCGTGAAATGGTTCGCATTTCCCATCAAACGCCTTCGGCGTTCGAATGTTTAGGACTGTGGTCTGTTTAGGCTCGAGGACTTTCAACAGTCTAGCAGGGAGAGTACAATTATTATGTAGCTAATGTGGGTGCTTAATGACACAATTACATGTATGACGACTTCTAGAAACATTCACTTATATTGAAAAACATATTCGCTCATTTTGAAATGGATTAGATTATCCTCATTCATAGGCTATTAACTCAAAAAGATATTTCCACATAATAGTGAAAAATAATGGTTTAGGTGTGTTGAACCATCTTGGTCATAAAATTAAGATTGTATACTAACTATAAAGTGAGATGATTGTAAGGTAGGTAGAATATATATGGATGTACCGTATGTCGCCTTATCCAAACATGAGCAGTACAGGGCATTTGAATCACTATTCTCTAATTTTACCATGTGACTTATCAGTGCAGTATTTTGGACCAATTTACTAAGCGTTTCATCTATGAAAATACCCCAAATCAAGTTACATTTATGGTTATTTTATGTCTTTATTTGAACAAACCTTTGAAC